CACTGCAACCTCCACCTCCCGGGTTCAAGCAATTCTCCTGGCTCAGCCTCCCAAGTAGCTGGGACTACAGGTGCGCACCACCACGCCCAGCTAATTCTGTATTTTTAGTAGAGACAGGGTTTCACCATGTTAGCCAGGATGGTCTCCATCTCCTGACCTCATGATCCACCTGCCTTAGCCTCCCAAAGTGCTAGGATTACAGGCGTGAGCCACTGTGCCCTGCCTGTTATTTCTTTCTTTCTAGTCATCCTTGCATTCTCATCCTGAATGCCACTATCTCTCAGGTGGGGAGCCTGTTACTGTCTTTCTCCACCCCCTGGATGGGGAACGGTTATCACAAAAGACGGGGCTCGTCTCCCCAGTTCACTATTTGAGGTTCTTCCCATCTTAGCTGCTCACTTCTTCCCATCACGTTTCAAAGCTCCTTTCAGATATAACTTCCTGACAGCAATTTAGCATTACTTTTCTTCTTTTGGTTGTTATTCAACCCCTTCATATGTTCTGGAAGGGTCTGATGAAAATACACTGTTAAACCACACGAAGCTGTACAGCAATGTAACTTTTATGTTGAAAGAGTGTACTTAAAAAATCTAATTATGGCTGTTCCCTAATTAAATCATTTTTCTTTTTCACTGTCTCAGCAGCTATGGCAATGAGAATAATTTTTCATGGAAAATTAAAACCTAGAGGCGGCAGCATAATTTCCTTTGCAGACTCTAGCTCAACAATAATAACAGCATGTCTGATGTCTTTCCATGACATCACTGATGAGGCGACAGGAACATGAAGTGGCAAGTTTGGGAGCCGCCATTCACATGGAAACAGCCAGCCAAGAAGTTAGTTATCTGGGAATTGTTTGTTTATGAACAAGGTTTCCCGGAGGGAATGTGGGAGGGGAAATACAGTTTTGGATTCAGGAAAAAATTTAAAATTCCATTTCCTATTGTCAAAATAATTCATTAGATAAATGAGTGCTATGAGTGGACAGTTTGCTATTTTGAATAAGGTTCTTTTTTTTTTTTTTTTTTTTTTCATTTCCAGTTATGTTGTCTTCATTTTTTCCAGGCTATTTTTAGTGCCTTTGATCATCACAATCTTCTGTGTTACAAAAATATAACAATTCTGTTTCACAACTTCTGACCTGAATGAATTTGCTCATTTATCATTTGTTCATTTACTGAGGAGATGTCTTTACTTTCTGCAGATTTTCTGACTCCAAGGTTTTTATGGGTGCCGTTAGATAATTTAAAAGAAAAAAAGAAAAAGAAAGTCGTTTGTGCAACATAAAGGCCAGTTAATTGGGAACATTTGCAAGGCCTCCTCTAGGGGATGAATTGATGTGTGCTTGGCTTATTGTAGGATGGTATTGAATAAACACATGTGGAGTGAGTGCTCTCTCATAAACTGATTTTATTCTGCACAACTTTGCACTCCCATCAGAAACAGAGAAAGATGGAATTCTGCATGTATCTTGTAAAGTAACTTCATTGCCCCATGGTCTTGTGATATACCCATTCCTTCCTTTCCTTGTGCCATTTATTCTGTTGGCGTTTGCTTTTCTTTGTAAAGACCCTCTGTGTATATCCCTAAAACTAAGTTCCCTAGGGTGTGGCTGAACATAGGGCAATTAGCAAAGAGCATGTCAGGTTCTGCTGGTGCCCAAACCAGAGGGCAGACCATGGCCAGGACCGACGGCCTGTGTCAGCGGAGTGACTGACCAGATGAAGCAGCTCTTGGGAAATTTGAAGGAGCAAATTTTTTATGGTAAAGCTAAGCCTGGATGCATCAATGATAGAAAGGCATGACATGTAGCTTTGAAAGATTGTTTAGCAAATATTGACTTGTTGCAGTTTTGTGAAAATAACTGTTTTGTTACGTTGTGCCTTAGAGACATCTTGGTGGCCTGATACCCAGAGGCCTCCTCACACTTGTTTTCCTGTTCTATTCACCAAAAGTGGAATTTGGGTAAAGTTTAGTCATTCACCCATTTTTTACTGTGCAAAATTGCTCTCCCCTTTCAAAAAGTAGTCCAAACTTGCTTTTTCTCCTTCTTGCTTTCTTTTTTTCTTTTTTTTTTGAAGCAGAGTCTCACTCTGTCACCAAGGCTGGAGTGCAGTGGTGCGATCTAAGCTCTCTGCAATCTCCCCGTCCTGATTCAAGCAATTCTCCTGCCTCAGCCTCCTGAGTAGCTGGGACTACAGGCCTGTGCCACCACGCCCAGTTAATTTTTGTATTTTTTTTTTTTTTTTTTTTTTGGTAGAGATAGGGGCTTTACCATGTTGGCCAGGCTGGTCTTGAACTCCAGACCTCAAGTGATCCACCTGCCTCGACCTCCCAGAGTGCTGGGATTACAGTCATGAACCACTGTCCCCAGCCCTTTTTCCCCTTCTTGACTCTACACTGGCACTTTGCACTAACCTGGTCATTTTTTAGGTGAAGATTTTTGGTATTGCTTTTTTTGGGTGTAAGTAGACTGTGTCTAATTTTAAGGCCAGACAGTGAAGTATGAGCAAATGGTGCTTGTTTACAGGATTCCAAAATGGCCAGTCAAGTATGCAACAAGAAAAGTTTAAGTCAGCAGCTAATTGCTTTGTATCATGTGAATACAACTAGCCATGAGACTGAATTTGCAATTTTTATTGTTTCTGCACAGTTTGACAGGAGAAGGGTTGAGGGGGAGGATCGTGTGGGGAACAGGGACGCCCTGGCTACACTTCCACGTCAGTCCTCTAGTGTGGGCTCTGGGGTGGGGCGGGGCGGGGTGGGGTGTGGCTTGCTGCACAGGGAGCAGGCCCAGGGTTGCATCCGTGTTCTAGAAGAATTTTGTCTTGTTTCTTTCCTGCCTCACCCTCAGGCCTTTTTTTCCTAATTGGGGCTTTGTATGTTTTCTGCACTATTTTCCAGTATGGTTACAGTTGGCCTTGAATATAGTAGGTGATTAGTCAAGATTTGATAAATCAAATGCCCACCACTTTCTCTTTTCTCCCTGTCAGGAGAAGTAAAGGAAAACAGAAAAGTAACAATAGTCAGGTAACTGTACTTCCCAGCAATCCACCTGCTATATCAGCCTGTGAGCCCAAGGAAGGCAGGGCACATCTTAGGGTCACATCCCCAACATCTAGCAGAGCACCCAGAGGCATAATTTGAATTGCAAAAGATTTGGTGACTTTTACAATACTTTCAAACTTTGTAGTTCACGTGGAATTTGGAGCCATTGTTTTCAAGTCTCAGGTTAGTCCTTTGTGCAGTGACTGCCCCTCCCTCTCCAGAAAAGAACGAAAGAATTTACTTTTTCACCCAATGTTAGACTTATCCTCTTGAAATTCGAAGTCTTCAGTTTCAGTGATGCAGTCACTTGTTGCTACCTGTGCCTTGCCCTCTGCCCACAAAGGGAGAGTTTGTTATCTGTGAAAACATATTTTTTCCTTCAGTTGGGAGTAGGAGTATTCTCATAACTGCAGGCCTTGCATTCCTGCCTCTGCCTTAGAAATTTCACTGGGAGCGGTGTTGATCCGATTATTCCAAATTGCCAAACATTTGCTGCCATTGGGCTGTGCCATGCAGTGGACTGTACTTCCTCTGTGCACTCTTAAAAATGTTAGGATAAGGGAGTGCAATGCTTTGGCAGTTACTAAATCTCATCTTTCATTGGAGTATCCTACGTATGTTCTGTCCTTCAGAGATAGACAGAACACTCCATAAATCAGAATAAGAGTTCACTTTGAAGCACTGACAGAGTGCCTTATTTTATCCCCCACCTACAGTTAACTGGCCTGGTATTGAGCCCATGGGCAGTGACAGTAGATGCATCTTTGAGTTATTGAGCTACTGCTGTATGAATCACCCAGATCTGATCAGTCCTGATTATTTGAAGCCTGTATCTTCTATGAAGTCAGCCATGCTTATTATTATTTTCCTCAAGTTATAGTTGGGCTGTTTTAAGAATGTTTAAGAATTACATAATATATAACCTGGTTTCAATACTCATGCTTTTAATGAAGGTTTCTTTTACCCTGAATTTTTTTTTCATGTTGCCTTGTACAGAGAGGTTATGTCAGCTCACGCCTGTAATCCCAGTGCTTTGGGAGACCAGTGTGAGAGGATCGTTTGAGGCCAGGAGTTTGAGACCAGCCTAGGCAACATAGTGAGGCCTTGTCTCTACAAAAAAAAGGAAAATGTGTTAATAGCCAGGTGTAGTGGTGCGCACCTGTGCTCCTAGCTCTTTCAGAGGCTGAGGTGGGAGGATTGCTTGAGCCCAGAAGTTCAAGACTGCAGTGAGTTATGATCACTCCACTGCACTCTCCCCTGGGCAACAGAGCAAGACTCTATGTCAAAACAAAACAAAACAAAACAAAACAAAACAAAACAAAACAAAACAAAACAAAAAAACCACACATGTTCAAGCAAATCCATGGCAGCTGTATTCATAATAGCACCTAACTAGAGGAAATAGTCCATAGATTTCTCCTGTTTGTGCAATGGAATCCTCACCGTAGCAGGAAAGGGCACATAGCCACAGAGGGGATTCGGGATGGGTAAATGGATTGGAAGGAGCCTGCAGTGTTTGGTGCTGTGCTGGGAAGGCCTGGTATCTCTGTCCAGGTGGCAGCTGTGCGAGTGTTAAGGGTGTAAACGTTCAGCGAGCCGTGTACGTGAGATTCCTGCGCCTCGTACACTACACGGTATTTACGTTATACTCCAGTTTTAAAAATTGGATGTTCCCAGCTACCCGGGAGGCTGAGGCAGGAGAATCGTTTGAACCTGGGAGGTGGAGGTTGCAGTGAGCCAGGATCACGCCATTGCTCTCCAGCCTGGGTGACAGGGGAACACTCTGTCTAAAAAAAAAAATTAGATGTGGATGCTATAATGCTGCCTCGTTCAGAAAGCAGAGCCCCACGTGCTGAACGCGCCCTCCTGTTTGTTGACCGCTGAGAGGACAAACAGGCCCGGCAGCTTCCTAGGCAGATCCCTGGGGCCTCTTGCTTTGTGCTGTCTCCCAGGTGGTGGTGGAGCGGGGCCGGTTTCACCTGCTGGAAAAAGGACATGTCTTTCTGGGCAGTGGCCACCGTTTCTCCTGAACATCGTGGTTGGAGAGGGTTTCTAGCAGATCTTCAGCTCGGTGCCAAGGTAAAGAAGGTGAGCTCAGACGTCCCAGTAGCATTGCAGAAGCGTTTCTTGTTCTGGTTGTGCCCCACAGGTGAGGTCCGTGTCCCGTCAGGCGCGTTCCTCCTTCAGGGGCTGTGACTAATTATGGAAAAGGGCACAGCTGCCGCTCTCAGACCGTGAGGGTTAACCGAGTGAATGCTGTTGTTCCAGGGCTCTGCCTCTTGCTGGACACTCGTGCTGGGCTGGGACCTCCTGAGTAGCTGGAACGGCAGGTGTGGGCCAACACGTCTGGGTAATTTTTCAATTTCTTGTAGAGATGGGGTCTCGATAGTTGCCCAGGCTGCCCTTGGGCCTTTTCTGAAAGGCTCCACGTTGGTGACTCTCCTCTCATGTGGGTGCTGCTTGAATGGCTGAGTCTGACTGTGATGGGGGTGAGCCGTCTCCTAGGGCACCGTGACAGCATCCACATCCAATTTCTTTTCTGGGACAGAATCTTCCCCTGTCACCCAGGCTGGAGTGCAACGGCATGATCTCGGCTCACTGCAACCTCCGCCTTCCGGGTTCAAATGATTCTCCTGCCTTAGCCTCCCAAGTAGCTGGGTGCTTGTGTTTGGACCCCCTTACCCCATGCTTTGCTGCTGTTGCAGTTTTCTTTACAGTTAACTGTACAATGTAGAGAACCCTTCAGGAAACTGAGAGGCTGATGGAGACTAACGGAGAACAGAGGAATGGAAGGGAAGTAGGTTGTCATGTAAGCCAGAAAAACTCACTCTGCCGCTCGGGCAAAGCAGAGCCGCTGTCAGGGTGCACCTTAGGGACACCTGTAGCCCAACCATCTGGAGAGCTGAATGCCAGCTTCCCCGAGACATGAGCTGGCATGGGCCGGGGTGTGGGAATGCAAATGGCATGGGTCCCTGGTCAGGGTTTGAATTTTCCTGTGGGTATTTAACTGTAGGCATATTCACTATTATTGAAATACATAACTTTCCCCTTAACTTGTGTCTTTAATTTTTTTTTTTTTTTTTCAGACAGAGTCTCGTTCTGTCACCCAGGATGAAGTACAGTAGCACAATCTCTGCTCACTGCAACCTCTGCCTCCCAGGTTCAAGCAATTCTCCTGCCTCAGACTCCCAAGTAGCTGGAACTGCAGGCGTGTGCCACTACACCCAGCTAATTTTTTGTATTTTTAGTAGAGATGGGGTTTTACCATGTTAGCCAGGTTGGTCTCTATCTCCTGACCTCATGATCCCCCTGCCTTGGCCTCCCAGAGTTCTGGGATTACAGGCGTGAACCCCTGTGCCTGTCTACTGTGTCTTTAATTTTCACCCAGGGCATCTCTAGAAAATAACCTTAGAAACCATTTAGTCACTCTCTTCATTTTAAAAGTTCAAAAGGCTAATTATAGAAAAGGTAGAAAATAAATGAAAAGGAAAAGAAAAGCTTATGGGACTCTATCACAGTAGATATTTTAGAGTATATTCTTCTGTGGGAGTTTTTTTGTACACACATTCCTGGATTTGTCTATCTGTTTTTACAGAAATGGGATTGTTCTTCAGGCCTCTTGGGTTTCTGTGTAGCAGTATAGGAATATTTTCCCCTTCTCGGGATAGATGAGGAAATGGAGGCCCAGCCAGGTGAATGACTTGCTCACGCAGTGCCAGGGCTCACCTGGAGAGGTAGGCTGGCACAGCTGCCCAGTCCTGAGGCTTCTTGCCCTGACAAAGGCCTGAGAAGGCAGCGGCGGGGCCGAGGCTGGGGCATCCAGAGCACCAGGCTTATCAGTGGCCATGGGCGTTGAGCACAGTGCCTGACACAGTAGGCCTTTGATCAAGGACAGAAATGAATGAGGCGGGGCACGGTGGCTCACGCATGTAATCCCAGCACTTTGGAAGGCAGATCGCTTGAGCCTAGGGAATCGAGGCTGCCGTAAGCTATGGTTGCACCACTGCACTCCAGCCTGGGTGACAGGGTGAAGCCCTTTCTCAAAAAAAAGAGAAATGAATGAAAGGCACTGGCTGTACCGGTGGAGGCCTCATTCCCGCCCTCCCTGTCCGGGTGCCAGGGTCCGGCCAGTTTGTTTTCAGCAGCTGCCTTGCTCTCCCTGCCAACCCCACACTTCCAAAGCCTTGTGCAGTAACGGACCTGTGGTGATCTCAAAAGCCTCCAGTGTTCGGTTTGCAGAAAAGGCAGCGTATTCCCTCCGACAGCTGTATGATGACTGCTACGCACTGTACACACTGTAGCAGCTAAAATCCCAGCGGTACGGCTGAGTTCTTCTGATTCTATAAACATGCGATGGAGTCCCCGAGGCCTGCCAGGTGAGGGGGGCCAAGGGGCAAACCTGGGCTTCACACACGGCTGATAGGGAGCTCTTAGCCAAACTCTCAGAGTTAATTCATTGAACTTTTTCAGTATGTCTTCTTTCCTGTGAAACATCTCAATGACTTTCTACACTTAAAAATATGTTTTCTCTTTGACCCTGTACTTCAACCTGTGGGAACTTATCCTTTAGATACATTTCCATAAGTATAAAATGGCATATGTGGCTGGGTAGGTGGGTCACGTCTATAATCCCAGCACCTTGGGAGGCCAACGCGGGTGGATCACCTGAGGTCAGGAATTTGAGACCAGCCTGGCCAATGTGGTGAAACCCCATCTCTACTAAACATACAAAAATTACCTGGGTGTGGTGGCGCATGCCTGTAGTCCCAGCTACTTAGGAGGCTGAGGCAGGAGAATTGCTTGAACCCAGGAGGTGGAGGTTGTAGTGAGTTGAGATCATGCCACTGCACTCCAGCCTGGGCAACAGAGTGAGACTCCATCTCAAAAAAAAAAAAAAAAAAAAGGGCGTATGTGCAGGGTTATAATTCAGCAATGTTTCTAAAAGCAGAGGGTGGAAACAATCCTGGTGTCCATCACTAGGGGCCTGTGCTCTGTCTGGCCAGTGGATACTGTAGAAGAAGAAATTGAAGACACTCTCTGTGTGCTGCCAGGGAACCATCCACAAGATAAAGTCCTTGACTTCCGATGGTTTGTCTCACTGTAATGGATTTATTGGGGTGTAACCCCGTTGTAAGTTGAGGAGTATCTGAATTACTCAGTGAAAAATGTAACTGTATGTGTACTATGCTAGCTGTTGTGTAAAAAGAAAAAGAAACAAACTCAGGCTGAATTCACATTCACTTACATGTGCGTAAAGAAACTTGAATACGTAAGAAACATGATGGCGGGAAATGAGAACTCAGCAGACGGTAGCTAGGCGGGAGGGAGACGCTTCACTGTGTATTGAGTCTTACAGTTTTATTTTCAGAACATGATTGTCTCACCTATAAAAGTAAAATTGGAAAAATAAAATAGGCTTCAATATGCTACCCCCAAAATACCATGAAAATGGTTAGTTGCATCTGTGTTTTACAGAGTTTAAACCTGGTTACAAGAACCAGTTACAAAGATGTAACTCTTACTGAATCAGAAAGAGTTGATTGGTCGCTAGAAACCTGTATCAGAAGATACAGGGAAGATGATAGGAGTGGCAATGAGGTGGGTCTCCTTGGGGGAGAGAGCAGTGTCCACGGTATGGCGACCTCCTGAGTTGAAGGACGTGGCCTCTGAGTCCACTCGGAAAGAGTGGACTGCTCCCTGCTCATGGGCTTTGTTTGGTTCTGGTCTGTCTGAAAAGCAGTCATGAGCACCTTTGACAGTTACAGGGATTCCACAGCCTGAGTCCTGCTGTATCACACAGAGCAGGGACTAGATGCTTTGTCTTGAGCACATGCTCAGTCAGTGACCACCGGAAACATGGCAGGGCCACCAGGCATATTGCTGCCCCCCAGCATTTGGGAGATGGCCACACAATCCGCAAATTACATTTTGCTGTAGAGATGAATAAACCGAGTTACTAAGGGGTGCTGCAAGGGGATTGATTCTGAAATGCATACTCCTTGCCTTCAGAAAATGTACGTGTGCCTTGTCCACAGACTTTAAGAGTTCTTTATGAAAAGTAGCCACTGATGGGCATCATTTTCTTCTCAATAGAGGACACTTGATGGGCTCCTGGCTGCACCCAGACTGACGGGGGTTGGGGGATGGCACATCAGCAGCTGACATTCCTTTTGTGTGTGGGACCATGGAAAGGCCACAGTTCAGATTTCTTTCTTTCTTTCTTTTTTGAGAGAGTCTCTGTCACCCAGGCTGGAGTGCAGTGACACAATCTTGGCTCACCGCAACCTCTGCCTCCTGGACTCAAGCGATTCTCCTGCCTCAGCCTCCCAAGTAGCTGGAATTACAGGCACATACCACCATGCCCAGCTAATTTTTGTATTTTTAGTAGAGACAGAGTTTCACTGTGTTGGCCAGGCTGATCTCGAACTCAAGTGGTCTGCCTGCCTTAGCCTCCCAAAGTGTTGGGATTACCAGCATGAGCCACCGTGCCTGGCCACACAATTCAGATTTCTATATTTTTAGCTTTCATAAAGAGGGGTACCTTATACATTGGAGGGGACAAGATAACACATTTCTTTACTCTGGATCTTTACACTGGGACTTGTGGCAGCTGACGGATTTATTAAGTTAAAGGCTGTCTGCTTTCTTTGGAACATATGCTTGAATGTCTGTAACATGTTCATTTTAAACTTAGAAGATAGATTAACATTGAATGGCTTCTCCCAGGCACTGGTTTGCCAGAATCTTAGGGACACTCAGTGTGCAACTCACACACCTTCTTTGGTTTGGCTGCCAGGAATCATGCGGCCACACTCTGAGCCCCGCCCATGTATGGTGGCCGCCCTGGTGTGGGTTTTGTCCTGGCCTCCCTCTGCCTTCTTCTCCTTGGTTTCCCCTTTCCTTCATGTTTCTTACCTACTTCTAATTGATATTCTGAGTCTGAATTCATCCATCTTTTTAAGTTTCTTGAAAATTCTCACTGGAACAAGTCAGAAAATGAGTAAAATCCCCTTCCCCTTCTAAGAGAGATAATAAGGGAAAGAAAAAAATTCAGTCCCTGAGAAATACTTTCTAGATGGTCCCTTTATTTTATAGAGGAACGTGAAATCCAGAGAGGGGGAGGGGTCTGCCTGAGGTTATTCAGCCAGTTTGTGACCCAGCCAGGGAGCACCCAGGACCCTCCCTGCCGGCTCACGAGGTTGGGAGAAGCTCTCTTGGCATCCATACGGAGGACTGCCTCTGGTCTTGTGAAAGAACTCCATGCCTAATCTTCCTGGGACCAGCTGCCCCTCTTCTTTAAATAAATAGGATTTTCCATGGAACTTTTAAAATACCTTGCTAGGAAAAAGG